TACTTACTTTAAATATGTATACATTTATGTATATATCTACTATATCATTGGGCACCCCGACTAGAGTCTTCTTACTTATTGAGATTTAGATCTCCCTTAGAAACTTTTAGCTGACATATGTTACTCCTGCCACATGTTTAATTGCCTAAATTGAGGAGGCTAAGTTACACAAGTCAACTGGTATTGTATAGTATTCCGTAGGGCTTCACACAAGTGTCATATTCGCATTCGTATCAGTAAAATTTTCGGAAGAGTTTATTAATAAAACAAAACACTTCTAATACAGTTCTTAGATAACGTAAACTTGTAAAGACTAAACAGTATGATGTTGGCTAATCGTGTGGCCATTGCGTTCCATAAAAATGTGCATTTCTACAAGCGGATCCGCGTGACCAAGTCCTGGAAGGATGCCGGCGGCTATGAGGACAAGCGAGTGCCGAGCCCAATCGGTTGCATGTCTAGCGTTGGTCAGTTTCGCCATTTCGCGATAAAGTGCGACGAGAACTGCGCAGTGAAGGGCGTGGTGATAGGCGTGTACAGCAAGGAGGGCGAGCGGGAGCCGAAGTTGACGTCCAGCGGGGAGAAGTTCGACGATCGGGCACAGGGTAAGATCTCGGATTTGGTGCGCGAGACACAGATGAGGGGTGAGCTGGGCAAGGGAATGGTCTTCATGAATGTGGACCCAGAGTTTAGTGCCGTTGCCGTGGTGGGACTGGGCCAGGAGGGTGCCGGGTACAATGACCTGGAGATGATTGACGAGGGCATGGAGAATGCACGTGTCGCCGCCGGCGTGGGCGCTCGCGCCTTGCAGTTGCAGGGCGTGAACGAGGTCTATGTGGACTCCATGGAATATCCAGAGCAAGCAGCCGAGGGCAGCGCCCTGGCCATTTGGCGCTACAATAGCAATCGCCGGAAGCAGGATCGCACACAAATACCCAAACTGGAGCTGTACGATTCACCRGAAATGGATGCCTGGACACGCGGTCTCTTCAAGGCCGAGTCACAGAACCTGGCCCGACGCTTGAGCGATTCGCCGGCCAACCAGATGACGCCGACCATATTCGCCCAGTCCACGGTGGACGCCCTGTGCCCGTGCGGTGTTAGCGTCGACATACGCTCCATGGACTGGATCGAGGAGAATCGCCTCAACTCGTTTCTGATGGTCGCCAAGGGCAGCTGCGAGCCGCCCGTCGTGCTGGAGGTGAACTACTGCGGCACTGCGCCCGAGGACAAGCCCATCCTGCTGCTGGGCAAGGGCATCACCTACAACAGCGGCGGCCTCTGCCTGCGCCCCAAGAAGTGCATGCAGCTCTATCGCGGCTGCATGGCCGGCGCCGCTGTCTGCGTGGCGACCATTCGAGCGGCAGCTGCACTGTCGCTGCCCCTGAACATCAGTGCAGTGCTGCCGCTCTGCGAGAACATGCCGTCGGGCATGGCGGTGAAGCCGGGCGACGTGGTCACCCTGCTGAATGGCAAGACCATGGGCATCAAGGATGTGAGCAAGGCGGGCGTGGTGGTGATGGCTGATCCACTGCTCTATGCCCAGGCGAACTTCAAGCCGCGCCTCGTCGTGGACATCGCGACCATGAGCTATGGCGTCTGCTGTGGTCTCGGCGGCAGCGCGGCGGGCATCTTCAGCAATTCAAATTTCGTTTACAAGCAATTCGAGAAGGCCGGCGGCCTCACCGGCGATCGTCTGTGGCGTCTGCCTCTATGGAATTACTTTAAGCGCCTCATCTCGCCCAATCTCACCTACGACATCAATAATCGCGGCCGCGGACCCGCCTCCAGCTGCATCGCTGCCGCCATACTCCACGAGCTGGTGCCGTGCGTGGACTGGGCCCACCTCGACATCCGCAACGTGGGCATGATAACTCAATATGCGCCGCTACCCTATTTGCTGCGCGACCGCATGACGGGTCGCCCCACTCGCACCATCATCCAGTTCCTATACCAGATGGCCTGTCCAGACAACAAGTAGTTGGGCCAGGTGCGCCTACTTGGAGACATGGAGTTTCCTTGATTTCATTTAATTTCTTTTTTTTAATTATTATTATTTTGCCTGTCTCGTTATTTATTTATTTATTTCCAAATTATTCGTTATCAATTGACCTGTTAAAGTGGCGGGATCAGAGAGAGGGGGCACTAAGCTCAAAATTGTATTGTCCACATGTCAAGAGTGTTGGGAAAATGTGTAAATGTTTTCGTCAGAATTCTGAGTGTATATAAATAAAATTTACTGCTGCATGTATCTTTTGATTGGTTTAAACAATTGACTGCCTTTTCATTACCTGCAGAGCAATGGCTAAGCCAAGCCTAAATTGAAAGCCATCAGCATAATGATGAGTCGATATTTGTTTCTGTACTGAACACTTTCTAGTCGAAATATTATTCATTATATTAGAAAATAATACAAATTGTTTAATCTACTTTACACTTTATTTATATATTTATTTACACAATATGTTCGCATGGACAATAAGCAGCAGCTATGTTCTGGCTGCAGTAAAATTTGTTTGCTAAAAAAAAAAAAAAAAAAAAAATAATCATAATATTTAAAAATCTGTCAGGAGGATATGGATTTATTTATGCATATATATTATTATTATTATTTTTTTTCTATTGCTCTACGACATGTAAATCAGCTAATGTTTTTAGCCAATATCATTTTTGACTGAAGGCATGAAAATCAGGTTCAAACCTCAGGCTCATTCAGGTTGATTTAACAATTGCTAAAATTTTTCTAGCATCTAGCAAAAACAGCCACAAAAACTTGTTTGGCTTTAGCCTGCATTCATCCACTTTAAATTTTCATATTCACAAAATCATAATCATTGTCAGGCATGCCTGCCTGCTCAATCACCAGAGGGTATTTAGCAGCTTGCTTGCATTTTGTATGGTCTTGTCGTTGTGGCATCCCTATCTTTCAAACTCTATGCAACCATATAATTGAATTCTAACCCGACGCGCCATCTCCAGGGTAATAAGAGGCAGCAGCAGGAGCAGCAGGAGCAGCAGTAGCAGACGGTCAAACCGAACCACAAACGGTAGCAAAAGCATCGCCAATAACTGCATAGTCCAAGCCAACCCTTCACCCCGCCCCCAGCGGGTGCTACTGCTTCTGCGTTGCAATAGCAGCTACCGAAAAAAAAAAATCACACACATATATATATACATA